GAGAGAGAGAGAGAGAGAGAGAGAGAGAGAGAGAGAGAGAGAGAGAGAGAGAGAGAAAGAATATCTGATTCTTAAATGTGAATGGAAAGGCAAAGATCCTAGACCATTAAAAAAATAAGAGAGATTCCCTGTAGTTGGACTTTCTTTGTACTGCCAGCTCCCAAACAACCCGGACATTTATAGTAATTATGAAAGCTGGGCCTTAGCTTAGGCTTGTTCCCAACTAGCTTTTAAAACTTAAATTAACCCATTTATAGTGATCTACATTCCGCCACATGGCTCTTTACCGCTGCTTAGGACCATGTATCCCACTTCCTCTGTGTCTGGCTGGTGAATTCTGCCTGTTTTCTTCCCAGAGTTCCTATCTCTTCCCGGAAGTCCTGCCTATCAGCTCCTGCCTATCTATTGGCCATTCAGCTCTTTATTAAACCAATGACAAGGTGCCTTGGCAGAGAAACATCTTTATAGTATACAAAAAGATTATCCCACAACAATTCTCTCTGCATTGCTAGGAAGACTCCTGGCTGCCTCGGGTAGGTTTTCTAGCATTCTGAAGATAGTAGAAAGTGGCAAATACACAAATGCAATATTTTATCTGTCCCCAAACTGGCAACTGCTAATTGTTTGAACTGACAGCACATTTTGTTGTGGTGTAGTGTGTTTTTTCACCTTTAGCACAAGCTGTGGTCTCAATACCGAGCAGCCGGTATAAGCAGCCCATTAACATCACACTTTTTGCTTTCATTATCTCTGTTTTGACACAGTTGAAGGTACCTGTAGTTGGCCCTCTTACTAACAGCCCTTGCTGTCTTGTGCACACCAGCATCATGTTTTATCTTCTAACTATCCAGTAAAGTGAGTGGGAAAGAAAAGAAGAAATCTTACACTAACTCGTTTTCATTGTGTCCAGTTAGGATGCTGCTTTCAAGACACTGTGGCAGCAGCCTAGCTAAAGTGATTCCCAGGAAAGAGCCAACATGTGATCAGCTGGCTTTTGAGTGGTTGCAAAGTCAGACATCTGGGGCCAGCGGCAAGTTCTTGTCCATTAATGGACTTGGAGGCTCCTCAAAGCTTTGGGAGAAGCAGGGGAACATGTGACTAGGAAGCAGTAATTGACATCGTTGCATTTTGGCTGTATGTATTCTTAAATCCTGTTTCTTTAATGGCTGTTCTAAAGATTTTTCTGTTTGCTCCAGAGATTTTTTTTCCCCCACTAGCTGGGCAAAACTTAGATTTGGACTAATTATTTTGATGCAGAGTTAAAACAAAAACAAAAAAAAAGCAAACAAACAAACAAACAAAAAACTAGTCCAGTGGCTCTCAACCTGTGGGTTGTGACCCCTTTGGGGGTGGACGACCCTTTCACAGGGGTGCATATTAGATATTTACATTATAATTCATAACAGTGGCTAAATTACAGTTATGAAATAGCAACAAAAATAATTTTATGGTTTAGGGCACCACAGCATGAGGAACTAATTGTATTAAAGGCTTTCAGCATCAGGAAGGTTGAGAATCTCTGCTTTAGTCCTTTTTAGTACTATTTATGGTAAAAAATGGATTAAATGAGGGCATAGGCTGCCTTGCCTCAGCCTTGCTTCATGGAATAAATTATTTTTGCTGTTGCTGTTAGTTCTGTTACTGTGTCCCCAGGAGTCTAGTGAATTTTTATACAGAATGCTGGATTATGAAATAGTATTTGGAAGCTGAGAGTTTGAGATATTTTTTGTTCACCAGTGAAATTTTGTTTTGGTAACACAAAATCGTAATAATTTGTCTCTCTAACTGTGAGCATACTAGAGATGACCATTCAACAAACCCATGATCACTTCTTGTCAGCTCTTTTTGTGTACTGGGGATAAAATACTAACAGGACATAAAGTTCTAGCTGTAGGCTAGGACTGAGGAGAAGAGTGGATACATAATGATGCTAGGATATAAAAGCCAGCGCAGAAGGAGTAATGTGGTTGTGGTGCATTGGCCCAGAGTACACGGGTGTGTTTCTTATATATCAGCCATTTAAATGCAAACCTCATTGGAATCGGAGGTGGAGCCCTGTTGCCTCCCGTCTGATGGAGAGCAGTCTCAGCAGGAAAGGGCAGATGTGAGGCCCTGAGCTGGGCACGTGCTTAGGTATCCAAGTGGGCCTCTCAAGCTGGCTTCAGTGAAGGGGCAAGAACAGAGGCGATGCTGCAGGAAGGAAGTTAGGGCGCTCTGTTACAAGTCTTGGGGTGCTGGAGGGTCAGTTAGGGACTCTCTCCTAAATACGGTGAGTAGCCACTGGTAGTCTTTGTTTAAGTACTTTTCCTCTGGGAGTGGTGGCAGTTTTTTAATTCCATCATAGTGAGGTGGGGAGAGGAGGGCGGAGGCAGGATTATGAGCTGGAGGCTCTCTTGGGTTCCATAGAGAATTCAACAGCTATAGATTTTGCTGTGTTCAATCATTCTTTTCTCTTTTGCTCTGTACCAGCACATGCTAGGTCTTTTTTTTTTGTTGTTGTTGTTGTTTTTTGTTTTAAAAGAGTGTGTTGCCGTATAGCCCTGGATGGCCTGGAACTTTCTATGAAGATCAAGCTGGCATCACATTTGGAGTGGTACTCTTGTCTCCCCCTTATGAGAGCTGAGCTACCTAAGGGTTTTTCTGACCTACCCAGATGGGGTAGTGGGCAGGCAAGCTAAGATACTCCAGCAGCCTTGGTTCCTGTCCCTCTGTGTGACAGCAGCAGGTGGCAATTTCAGGCCGATGGAAGCAGTGGCAGGTGGCGCCCTCTAGTGTCACAGCCCCATGCCAGTCTTGTGTAGAGGGACCCTTAGCCTTACAAATGTCCTGGGCTGGCAGTGGTATCAGAACCTTGGTTCCTGGCAGACACCAGTATTAAAGCTTCCCTGAAATCTGAGGACCTTTGCTCTGATACCTGTCAGCTTTCTGGAATTCCTTTGGCAAGTAGGGACTTCAGGTTCTATTCACGTCTCTGCTGTCTCCTCCCCCCACCCCACTTCCCTTCGTGCCCTGGCTGCATTGGAATTGTTCAGTGCACCTTTAGCTGACGATTTGACTTCTGTTGGGGCACCATTCAGTGGAGAACTGGAGCCCATTAAGGGTGGTTCAGGGACTGGGTGAGACCTATGCAGGGACAGCTCAGGTGCAGGGACCCCCCCCCCCCCACACACACACTTCAGGGATGTCAGTGGGGGTCTGCAGGTAGATCAGGCCTGGGGTCACCCTGTGTCTTCAGCCTTAGAGCAGCTGCTGCAAGGTCTCTAGAGCTTCTTCAGACAGGTTTGAGCAACTTAAATAATGATTACTGTGAGTAGAATCCTATCTGGTCACCTGTGCCTTCACAAGTGAGTTGTTTGTGTTCAACTTGTTTTTCATCCAATTCCAGGAATGAGAAATAGCCTGGCATGGTGGTACACACCTTTAATCCCAGCCCTGGGAGGCAGAGGCAGGCGGATCTCTGAGTTCAAGGCCAGCCTGGTCCACAGAGTGAATTTCAGGACAGCCAGGGATACGCAGAGAAACCTTGTCTCAAAAAGGTGGGCGGGGGGATTAAGAAATACACACAAGATAATTTATAGCAGTAATTCAGGAAATGTCATTGTTGAGAGTATAGATGTGGACAACCGTGCTTTTTTATACTATTTATTTATTTGCTCCCCTCCACGCCCCCCTGGGTGTGTGTATGTGCCTCGTGTCTGTATGCGTGTTAGGGATAAGCATAGAGGGTAAAGCAGAACCCTGTTCTTCTTACCATACACCAAGACTAGTAGGACATGGAAACTGGAAAGGAGGAAAATAATGGGATACCAGGTCTACATATAAGAACTAATGACTGCGAATGAATGGGCTTAATATGTTGGCTTGACTTAATTAATTAATTAATTAACTTTAGTTTTTTAGTTTATTTGAGACAGGGTTTCTTTTTGTAGCCTTGGCTGTCCTAGAACTGGCTATGTAGACCAGGCTGGTCTGAAACTCATAGAGATCCACCTGCCTCTGTCTCCTGAGTGCTGGGATTCAAGGCATGCCTAACTTGACTTAAGTTTTGTGCTGTGTTTTTTTTTTTTCCAATAACTTGAAAAATTTGAAGCTGTAGACTTGACTTTTTAAATGTACAGTTGATGTGGAAAGAGCAGTGTTTTAGTCTTCCAGACTGATGATGATTCTGTTTCCCCCGTCTTCAGAGACATCACGTACGAGATATCAGTGGAGGCCATCTCAGCAATGGTCGTCTTCCTTTCCTGCCAGCTCTTCCACAAGGAGGTTTTGCGACAGAGCATCAGTCACAAGTATTTGATGCAAGGTCCATGGTATGTTGTTTTACAAACCACTGTGATGCCTGCTCCGTTATTTCTAGCATTGTCTTCTCACCTGACGTTTCTCTTGGTTGTGCTGCTGTTGTGATCCCACACAACACAAGGCCAGATTCTGGCTCTTGTCCACTCTGTCCTGTCTGTCTGTCCACTTGGTCCTGCCTGTCTGTCTTGTCCCCCAGATTCAATAGTGCCTCTAATTGTTGCCTTGTAGACTAGCGTGATATCTTCTCTCTTTTTCTTATCCTTTCTCTGTGAACAGTTATCAAGTCCTCTTTGCTTATTCAAATTGTTCCTGAACCATCATCTTCTTTTTACTAGTTCCTTTAAATCTACAATTGTCCCTTAGTATCAGCAGGGAGCCGACTAAGGATACCAAACCCCGCAAGACCCTAAAACATACAGTACATAACCTGGGTACATCCTCCTGTGTACTCTAGATGCTGTCTAGATGATGTATAGTTCCTAATGCAATGTGAATGCTTTGTAAATAACTGATATACTGCATTGTTTGGAGAATAATAAGGAGTAAAGTTCAGTATAGATAAGATTTTTATTTTCTTGGGTATTTTCAATTTGTGACTGGCTGAAATAGTGGATACAGACTCTGAGGATGTGGTGCTTTCGAATTCGAAGGACCGACTTCTGTGATCTGTGTCCTGTCACGTTTTGTTTAGACTATTCCAGCAGTCTCTCCACTGTGCTCATTTAGTAAGTATCTACTTATTATATGCTAAACACGTGCTGGGCTTCGGGGCTGTGCCCCTTAGCAGACACTTAGGGGAATATGGATAAAAATACTTGGAGTAAACACAGCATCCTACCTTCTGTTGACATCATTTTCAGAAAGCTTTTTTTTTTTTTTTTTGGTTTTTTTGGTTTTTTGGTTTTTCGAGACAGGGTTTCTCTGTGTAGCTTTGCGCCTTTCCTGGAACTCACTTGGTAGCCCAGGCTGGCCTCGAACTCACAGAGATCCACCGGGCTCTGCCTCCCGAGTGCTGGGACTAAAGGCGTGCGCCGCCACCACCACCCGGCTCAGAAAGCTTTAAATCAAGCAAGTCCTTGAAATAAGTTAGTTTTGGTGAAGTTATGCAGTAGTTCTGGGAACATGGCTGTGGGTAGAGTGTTTGCCGAGTGGGATGAGTGGAGGATGTGGCCGGCAGAGAAGAGTGTGGTCTTCACTGTGCTCCTCCCCCTGCCATGGTTGCCATGGTTACACCTGGAGCATCATCTCAGGCTCCTTCAAGCGCCTGCTGTACTGTTTTATCCACTGCAGTTCTATGTAAACTACAAACAAGGTAACAGGTGCTTGCATTGTGATGATTTGATTCGTGCCTTCTGGCGTGGTAAGAGGCAACGCTAAGGTCGAGGCTTGAGTCGCGTGCTCAGTGATGCTGCCGTATTCCTTGGGGAGTATTAATGACGTGTACTCCCGTGATGTTATGCAGGATTGGGTGACTCTCGTGCACAGGAGTCTGATTGTTTTCTCTCCTTTCTGTATAGTCTTCCCTACACCAGCAAACTTGTGAAAACCTTACTTTACAACTTCATCAGACAAGAAAAGCCACCTCCGCCCGGAACCCACGTTTTCCCTCCGCAGTCGGATGGGGGAGGACTGCTGTACGGACTGGCGTCAGGAGTAGCAAGTAAGTCCTTCCAGGCTCCCCACTCCTCTCCTTATCCACATACATTTGGTCTAATTAGGCTAAGAAATCTTGTTCGCTTGGCTGACACATTATCCACTCTGTTGGATCTGTGCAGCTGGCTAAATGTAAATACTGAAAGAAATTAAAACTTTTTAAAATAAAATATTCATCCTTCCATTCTCTGTGGTGGATCATGTTAAATGTATACAAATAATGAATGGATTATTTAGCTATAGAACATAATTTTTCAAGAAGGAAGTTTACACGTGAATATGCATATGGTACAAGTTCTGGATATGAAGAGAGTCAAGGTGGGCTGTTGGAAGCTCTTTACTCCTTGTGTTCTAGGAGCGTCTTTCTGCTGAGAGTCTCTGTTGGTTAGGATTTCATTGTGTAATCTCAGTGCTTCGTTCAGTGACAAATGGGGAGGTTGAGAAGAGTTTGTAATGAACTTTACAGTGGCATGGTGTTGAGTTGTAGGTGTCCTAGCTGAGGAACAGCCCTTTCCCCCCCTCCCAGGCATCATTTCTGCTAGAGATGTGGCCAGCACACAGTGCCTTTGGACCTCCCTTTTTAGAGTGGTGGCCCTGCCTGTGTGCACTAACATGGCTGAGAACTTGGCCTTCATTTTAAAGAAGTAGCTTGACACCTGGGCATTCTCCCGCCGGCATGTGAGCTCTTACTAGGCTTACTAAGTTAGTAGTATGTGGTGCAGAATTACAGAGTGCTGGGTCCCAACAGAGTTCCCAACGGAATATGACTGTGGTACATTGTCCATGAACAACCAGCAGCATGGGATGGGAGGGGCCAGCACAGTGCAACAGTCTACCCTACCATCAGGCTTGCAAGCTTCTCACTAAAGCGGCAGCTTTGGTCTGTGATTTCAGCAGCTGATCAGTAAGACATACTTCCTAGATTGGCCTGCCTTTGCTTTCTCCGGGGGTCGTAAATTTAAATCCGTCTGGCATCACTCACACCCTTGGCTGTGGTGCTAAGGAGCCAGCCTAGAATGTCACCTTGCATTGCTTCTTCCTTTCCTGCCCCCGACCCCCAGCACCCGACTGTTCAGGTGGCATGCAGCTCCCTTGTGACCTGGAGACAGCGTAGGAATGACTTTCCAGTCTCCAGGAGGACCGAGCTGTCTGTTAGTGTTTTCTTTCTTTCCGTTATCATCTAAGTGCCGTGAGTACTTGAAAACTGGGTGTTGCCCAATATTCTAATGTAATTAGCGATTTTTCCCCCTCCAGGAAGCAAGTTCATTAATTACTTTCTTTAAAACAGTGGTCATACCTGACAGTTTTTTTTTTCCAAACAAATTTGTATACAGTTTAAAATTTTTCTTTCATTTACATGTTATAGCAGGTGTCTTTGGTGTTATTAGTTTGCTGAGTGTCAGCAAACTTGAATTTTAAAATTTATATCTGTTAACTAGCTGACAGAATACTACAAGAAAGTGCCTTAACTCTTGTTTTCTTGCCCATTGAATGAGAAGGTTGGGATAGTGATCTCTGAGATTTTTTCTGAAATCACTTTTAATAATTCCTACAGTCCTGTTTTCATTGTCTTAAAAATTAAGTATTTCATTTAAGACATTAAAATACTTTTTTTTACTTTAAAATGTTTTTGTTGAATATCAATCCATTATGAGTATTATAAGTTAGATATTAAACCAAAGCACAATTACAGGTTAAATGATGTTTTAATTTAATCACAGAGATGTTTTAAATAGAAACCCACCATGTAGGCTGGTTAAGTTCCTTGGTGCCCTCTTTTAGAAATAAGTAGGTGAGAGGAAAAAAAAAAAAGGCCTTCCATTCCCCGTGAACGCTATAAAGACCAGCACGTTTGCATGCTGTGAGCATCCTCTTGAGATCAAACGGTAGGCCTAGGAGACTTAGAAAAACTACATGTATTTGTGTGTCTTTTTGTGTGTGATGTATAAGCCAGAGGAAGTGTTGGATGTCCTGGAGCTAGAGTTAACAGGTGTTGCGAGCCACCAGGTGTGGGTGCTGGGAACCAAACTCTGCTGCTCTAGAAGAGCAGCGAGTGCTGCTGACCCCTGACCCCCTCTCCAGCTCTGGTCCCTGTCTGTTAAGATCTCATTACTTGATTTAACACTGATAAATAGAGCTTTTGTTCAGGGTTTGTGAAGAATAAAAGAGACAGTGTGTATAAAATCTCCTCTAAAACTATGTATTATCTGCCCTTATGCAAATAACTTTTGCTGTACGTCCTGAAGCACTGTGGAGCTTAGTAATTAAAATAATTAGAATGACATAAAAATAGTAATGAAAGTAAGTTTAATTAGAAAAATAACCAGTGATCAGAAAATCCTAGGGACATTTATAACAATGTAAAAACTCAGAACTTCTATCATTTTGGTTTGCTTAAACTTTAAATCATATAAAAAAAAGTTTTAAAAAACTGAGTAAATTGAATATGCCTGCCACATTCTTTCTTTGTGTCCAACTGGCTTTTTATTTTATGTGGTGCAAAATTTGTCAGTGACAAAAAGGAAAATTTGATTGTTAAATAGATATTTCCGCAAGAAATTTCAAATTTCTTCCTTCCTAAATGAACTTACCTTGACAACAGTTGCCATGGTACCATTTCTTAGGAACTAACTCATCTGAGAGGTTTTATATTTGCTTCTTTTAAGAGTGTGTGTGTGTGTGTGTGTGTGTGTGTGTGTGTGTGTGTGTATGGAGGCTGGAGGAAACCCTTGGATGTCATCCTCAGGAACACCTTAGGCTAGACTGGCTGGCTAGTGCATCCCGGGGATCCTTTGTGTCTGTGCTGGGATTCCAAGCGTGTGCCACCATGCCAGCCTTTATGTGGTTTGGGGATGGAGCTCAGGGCCCTGTGCTTGCAAGGAAAGAAAGCCCTTTGTTGACCAAACTCTCCTGCAAGTCCCTATGTGTGCTTTTGACTGTTTATCAAATTAGCCCGAGAATTTAATAGATGCTGACTTAATTTGAATTAGAAATATTTCAAAGATTCACTTAATCAAAGATATCAGAAGTATCGGTAGTCCTAGTAGTAATCAGTGATTGATGATTCTTACTATGCTGGCATGCTCAGGATGTGAATCATCCCTTCCTCCAGTGTATCTGCTGTATGTGTTACACCCCATTCATCCTTCCTCCAGTGTATCTGCTGTATGTGTTACACCCCATTCATCCTTCCTCCAGTGTATCTGCTGTATATGCTACACCCCATTCACCCTTCCTCCAGTGTATCTGCTGTATATGCTACACCCCATTCACCCTTCCTCCATTGTACCTGCTGTATATGCTACACCCCATTCATCCTTCCTCCAGTGTATCTGCTGTATATGCTACACCCCATTCACCCTTCCTCCATTGTATCTGCTGTATATGCTACTTCATTCATCCTTCCTCCAGTGTATCTGCTGTATATGCTACAC